TTTTCTTTTATGTGTTTTGTTGAAATAAGTAAGCTGGTTGAATCTTTTCTATAAAGAAGGGGTTCTGAGATACACAGAATGGTTCTTTCCATATACATTGTGACCCAAAACAGAAACACAGCCCAGCTCATCCAACAGTGCTGTGGCTTCAGAAAGTGTTCTGGGGCGTGCAAAGGCTGAAGTAATAAAACTTCACTAATAATAAATATTTTTCTAGGGCCTTCCCATCTGAGTGTTTTCCATGTGCTTTGCAATCACTAATTTACAAGTCCTACCTTGTCATAAACATACCTATTACCAGCCTTGTTTTCAGGTGGGGACACTGGGGTAGAAAGGAGGAATATGAAGTGCAAATTCCTAAAGGCTCCCTATCCTTTGGGAGCCCAGATTTAGGCACCTGCACTGAAAAGAATTACCAGTGTAGGTAAGCAAATTTAGTCTTTTTTATCAACGTTTAAGCCTTTTTAAAGTGGTTTTCAGTGCCACAGAACATCCAGCAGTGCCACCAAAATAATTGGAAACTGCTGGCATTCAGCATTTCAGAAAGCCTGCAGGGCACACAGAGCTCTCCTGTCCTTAAGCAAAGGAATATAATTTCCTTATCACACTTTAAACTGTGACTTTCCTCTAAAAGTAAAAATAGCTCTAAATCCCTTTGTGGTTTTGTGGTTCTCTGATACTGCAAATCTGCACATATCCACACAAGCAGCTTTTGAGAAAATCACCCAATTGTTATACTTTGTCATGTGAGGTGCTGTACAAACTCGAGGGAGAAAGGGCATTGCCCCCCGGGATCTGGAGATTGTGCAGGGGAAGAGGATGTAATGCAACACCCTCAAAATGTTGAGGATAATTATATACACAGTTTTAGAGTGCTAGTTTCATCTTCATTTTTTGTTTTAAAGTGTGATGATTTATATGTAATTCTTTCCTGGTTTATATATACGTACTAAGTATTTAAGCTAAAATTATGTTCTTATTAACTTACAATTTGCAAAACGTTTTGTGTGCCGGGGTTTCTTTTTAAATACTGCCAGTCTGTGAACATCTGTGACAAATGCAGAAGTCCAAACCACTACAACTGATTACCTGTTCCAAAATAAACTTCCTCCTGCTTCTCAGTACGAGGACAAAACCCTTTTTTTCTTTTTTTTTTCATATTCCACAAGGGAGATATCAGGAAATCAGAATGCCAAGCTGCAACCTGCACTTGCAGTCTGCTACATGGAGATTCCTCAGTATTGACAGGCTGACAGGAATTCAGAGCACGGGGATGCAAATAATTTGACGGCCGAAGGGTTAATTTCTGCACCGTCATGAAACGAATCACACCAAAAAAAAATGAAGCTTTAGATGTGACCTGATGAGGAGGACTTTATAGAACCCCTGGGTCTGAAGCCTGCAGGCTCTATTCCCTTGATCAGTGGAGAGTGTCACTGACATATGAGAGTGTGGAGTCTGAGTGAGAACAGAGAGCAGCTTTAACTGCAAGGTGATTTGTTCGGCTGAAAAATATAACACAAAAAATAGCAAACATATAGAACAATTCATTTGTGTGTAACAGGAGAGGGATAGTCCCTGAGAGAGAACAGGAGACAAGGAAGCAGAGTGTTCCTTTTCATGTAGAAAGCGATTCTCTCTTTTGTCTGTGTCTGCAGAGACCTTTGAAATAGATGGAACTAGCTGAGATTATTACTGGATTAAGCTCTCCTGCAGTTAAAAGCAATTTTGTGTACTAACTATTGAAAGCAGCAGCAGGAGAACAATTTTTTAACTGCTGTGGTGATTCTGATTTCTTTTTGGTTAATGTCTGTTGAAGTCAGTCCAAGTCTGTGACTTCACACCTGCAATTTGTAATGGATGCCATAGTATTTCTATGACATATCACAACTCCTGAATGTGTTAGGTTACAGCTCAAGAGGTGCTAGAATCAGAAAGTAGATAATGGTAATAAAAATCAGATTAAATAAGTGATTACACATTTACATTACGCATTAAAAAAAAATTAAATCTGTAATTTTTAATTTTATAAGTTAAAACAACTTTTCTGCAATATCATCATATGAAGAAAGAAGAGAAACAGGGAATAAAGGCCTTTAAATGCCTAGAAAATGCATGTGCTGCTAAAAAAACTTCTGAAATTAAAGGCAGTAATACAAAACCTTTATTGGTTTCCCACTGAGTTTTAGTTGTTACGTGTGGAGATTTTGACCAGCACACCAAAATTCCCACCAATCGCAAACATTTTGTTTCCTGTTCAGTATTATATTAAATACTAAATCAAATCATTATTTGCTCATTAAGAGGGGTGCTGCACTAATATCAACTGTCCATGGCTATTTTGTCCTGAGTGGCTCCACAGGACACTGGAGTTATGTGGGGGTTGTGCACTTAGACCAGCCTGGCCACACAACAAAGGCCATGCCTGCAGCTCCAGGAGTGAGAGGAGTGATCCCTGTCACACATCCCTGGCAGGGCATGGACAGCACAGGGGGTCAGGACAGAGCTCAGCTGTCCTTCTGGCATTTCCAAGGTGGAATTCCAAAGAAGGAAGCAAAAGGAAGATTCTGACATTCCTACAGGGCAGTGAAGGACCACTCCACTAAGTGTCGTTTCTCAGGGCTCGCTCCTGATAATAGACTGTGTTTAACAGGAGTTTGCTACCAGAGATCTCCTTTTAAAATTCTTAGCCACTCATGCAATATACTTATTACTTTCCCATTAAACATTATGTCCCCAAAATAACAGTATGGATGTATTATGCCCATACACGAGGGACTATTTGATAAAGGTATTTTTAATGTCAGGTAAAAAATAAAAGCGTGTTCATGTTGAGAATTACGCTGATGAGTGAACTCTTCTTGGAATCATTTAATGGAGAAATCCCTTACTAATGTCCTGAGGGAACTGCTGACAGTGTGCAATAATTTCTGGTTCAGTGCAGCAGATTACAGGATATCTTGCATTTTATGGAATTCAGGCAAGTGCTTCCTTTGCACTCTGAGGTCCATCTGTGAGCTCCCTGCTGCACTCCAGAATTAAAGGGCCTGCCACGCTCCTTTTTTTAGCTGCAGAAGGTGGCTGTGGCTGGGAGATGACTGAGGTACTGTGTGACCTTCTGCTTCACTGCCTTCTACTCCCAAAAGTTCACCTTCTCCAATTAGGTAGTGTTTGTTAAATTCACCTTTGAAGTGAAATACAGTTACTTCCAGAATAAGTGGTAGAGAGTAAGGTTCATGAGAATGTGTGTGGACTTCAGATGAAGCATTCACCTCTAATGTTTCTCCCACTGCTACCAGCTTCAGAAAGCTTTTTTTCCCATATTGTTTTACCTTTATTCTGATTGTTCCTGCACTGTCATCTTTACCACACGTAAATACTGTGGCATTCAGTGAGAATTTCATGCAGCTTGTGTGGGGTTCATAAGACCAGGGAGGTTTTTCCCATAACTACAGCCATGCCCCCATGGTCTGGATCCCATTGAGCAACCCTGGTCTGCTTCAACCTCTGAGGACCATTGTCTCTCCCAGAACATTTACTAGCAGTCGCTGGAGCCATGAATCTACAGAGCAAATGCAGAATAAGGGGTTCCCAAAATGTGAAACTGCCATGAAAAGAACTCTGGGAAAGCTGCTGGAGTAGAGGAGAAGAGCAGAGCCCCTGGCAATACTCCTCTAAACTGTCCATACTATGAAGAACCCATCCAAACTTTTCTCATAGGGATATTGAAACCCTGGCTACGATTTTTGACAAATTGGGAAAGCTTTTAAAAGCATCAAGCAGAGGGCACGCATTTTTTTGGTAGGAATATTCTATATTTCATCATGCAAGAACACTGACAAACAGGTTATTTAGCAGATTAGCACTTTTGGCTTTAGTTTTTCCAAATGAGCCCTTGGCTATACATTTCACAAGCTGGCTTTGCCCAGGGATGCTCAGTGTAACCCAAGCTGCTCTGTAGTTCCTGAAGCTGAGAAAAACACGTTGCTTTTGAGGTCTTTAGTTACTGATTACCAGCAAAGCCTCATAAAGCACAGCACTCCTCTCCCATGACCCAAGAACTGCACATTCTTGTTTCACCACAGCCTCTGACAGGGTAAAATAACTTGAAATAGAAGCTTGTGTTCCGTGTGCCACCTGAAAGCTAGAATGCAAAAGTAGGATTTGTTTAAAGGTTGACATTTATTACAGAATAAAGAAGGAAAGATTTTTATTTTTTTCTACAAAGTTTCTCTAGTTTTAACTTTGGTGCAAGTTGTCTTGCCTCAGTGTTGCCTGCCTTGTCACCTTCTCTGATGAGGTGGGTACAAATTAGGAGTTGGCAGGAAATTGCTTATCAAGCCCTCAGAAATCATGTGACAACATTTGCATGAGTCAAGAACATTTTCAGACTGCAGTGATGCAATGCTCATACCTACCCTCTCATGGGGGGGGGGAAAGGCAAGGTCTGAGCTCACAGGTGCTCGCACTCACACCCCTCAGACCATCCAAACCTGGCTGCAGAACTGCCTGCTCGTGAGTTAACTATCCTCATGTGCAGCCATTTACAAGTGTTGGCTCATCACATGCATGCAGGTTCACATGGGCACAGCTGAGAGGAGCAAAGGGGGTGGGGATAAAAGCCTTCCTTGCCTGCAGCAAGTTTTTTTCTTTGCTCAGAGCTCTGCAGGTTTGTTCCCTTCCTGCATTGCATGGTGCCCTTTGCCACTGCTCCCGTTGAGCAGAGGGACTCTCTGACTTGTGGAGACCTTTGTGGAGTTGGCTGAGTGCAGATCCATCACTGGAGAGCGAGGAGCAATAGTTCATAGACTGGAGACAGCACTTCTGTGAACTGTCACTTCCCAGATGAGCTGTGGACGGGCTGCACTTCACTTCAAACAGTTGCAGCATTAGTCAGAAGTGGTTCCAAGTCCATCCTATAGGACATGGAAGCACAAAAAAGTGCTGGGATTGAAGTTGTCCTGTTTGGTGTTCATTGGCCAATTGTTCCCCTTGTTAAGGAGGAGAGCCAGAGATGGATGACTGCCTGGAGACGCTGAAAGATGAGGAGGAGGCTTTGTGGGAGAACGTGGAATGCAACCGGCACATGCTGAGCCGGTACATCAACCCGGCCAAACTGACCCCCTACCTGCGGCAGTGCAAGGTCATCGACGAGCAGGACGAGGATGAGGTGCTCAACTCGCTTATGCTGCCCTCCAAAATTAACAGAGCAGGTAATTATTTGGTGGATGGCTACATCTGCATCCCTTTGTGAATGGCATTGCTTTGCTAAGTCTGGAGGGAGCCTCTATCAAGTTACAGATTAACAAATGGAAACCCTATATCTCATTTGTGGAAGATTTAATGTAGGGAGGGATTCTGCTGCTGCTATTTTCATAACAAAGACTCTTTCCAGTGGTGTGCAGACTGGAGCTCTTGGGGTTCATGTTCCCATCAAAGCCTTGGTAAATATTTCAGTTAATGCAGAGCAGCAGCCAGTGCCATTCCAGGAGTAGCTCTCCAGCTGTCTTGCTGTATCCTGTGATTTGTCACTGAAGGACCTGCCATCCTTGCCTGTAAATGCTTTACTGAATAATGAGTCTTTCGAAATCTCTGTTCCAGAGACCAGTTTGCCCATACTCCTTCAGAATAACCATCACCACAAACATAAGGAATTTGAGCCACTGCTTTTTGAGTTCAGCTGAATTCTGTTAATCAGCCAGATTTTGCTCAGCCCATTGTTGTGGCAGAGATGAACCTTAAGCAGAGTTGACTTCAGGGATACAGTGCTTGCTGATAGGTGCTGATGTGTCACCTCTCTGTCTGTCCTTAGGCCGACTGCTGGACATCCTCCACACCAAGGGCCAAAGGGGCTACGTGGTTTTCTTAGAGAGCCTGGAGTTTTACTACCCTGAGCTCTACAAACTGGTAACAGGAAAAGAACCTACACGGAGATTTTCCACAATTGTTGGTGAGTAGAATCAATCACAGAGGGGCCTGCTGAAGTGAGGGCTGTTTTGGAAACTGGGTTTGTTTTTTTTCAGGCAGGAAATGGAAATAAAAACCAATCTTGTTGTAGCATTCTGCAGTTTTTCAGTCCCCTTCAAAGCAAAATGTGATAGCAACAGGTAATATATAAAGAGAAGGGACATATCAGTTGTCAGGTGCAGCTGAAGAGCTTCAAACTGAATGATAGGCATTACCAGACATCCCCAGAGGAAGGAACGTTGGAACTGTGGACTAAATCACACTGATGAACTACACATGTGCCTCACATTTGAGGCATTCATATTAATTGTGCTTGTATAGATCCATTTTACAATGTTTGTGGTGTTTCCACAGGATCAGCCGAAACAAGACAAAAATGTAAAAGCTTCTCCTTCTATGCAGACAAGCTGTATGTGCTTGTATTGTGATGCTGGTAGCTGTGTGCTGTGTAATATTTGTACTGTTCCCAGTTAGATATACAAATGTGTCTGAATTTGTGCAAATTCTGCCCCTCTGTGCATGCTCTGGGCCATTTGTTTCTCGGTTCTGCTGATCCTACTTATTACCTTATTAATAAAGTAACTTCAATAAGACACTTTACTAGATGCTGATAAGCTGTTCAAACATTTTCAGTGGAGGAGGGACACGAAGGCCTTACCCATTTCCTGATGAATGAGATCATTAAGCTCCAGCAGCAAGTGAAGACGAAGGACATGCAGCGCTGTGAACTCCTGGCCAAGTCTCGGCAGTTGGAGGATGAGCGAAAGCAGCTCAAGCTGAACAAGATCGAGCTGCTGACCTTCCAGGAGAGGTACAACAAGATGAAGGAGGAGAGGAACAACTACAACGATGAGCTGGTCAAGGTGAAGGATGAGAACTACAACCTGGCCATGAGATACGCCCAGCTGAGTGACGAGAAGAGCATGGCTGTGATAAGGAGCCGAGACCTCCAGTTAGAGGTGAGAGAAACGTTCTGGGGCGCTTCAGTCAGGAGCAGCAGTGGAGGGTGCCAGTGGCACCTGACAAAGCAAGACCTTCTCTTGACAGCAGAAAGGTGTAGAGCTCTCATTTGCTTTGCTTACCCAGATGATTAGAGGCATGACTGTACAGAAGTGCCAACTGCAGTGATGTGTATTAATAGCAGATAATTTACATACTTGCAATGGATAAGCAGAACAGAAGTAAAAGTAAAATTTAGAAGACATAATTGTTTGCTAAAAACATAATTTTAGCTTATAGTATCTTGGCTTTACTGTTATCAGTTATTCAGGTTTGCACTACAGCTGCTGGGGGTCTATTCAAAAAGTCTCTCATAGAGCAATGGACCAGGTTGAGGTAATTCAGGAAATACAAAGAAGTGCTTCAGAGTGCCACACAATTCATGCTTGTATGTGTGTGACTTGAGATGGAGCAAACAACTACCCATAGAGGATGCTGCATTTTAACTTTGAACCCACGATATCAAACATTTTACATCAGACATTACTTTTTATTTTTGGGAACCCTTCTTTCATATCCAGAACCCAAAGCTCTTGTTTTTCCCAATACAGAAAGTCCATGTGCAAAAAGCCCAGTGTGTGGTCAGGCTCCTAAGTGTTAGTTCTGTTTCATATCTCTTTATTCATTGGAGGATTCAGGGTGTGCTATTTTTTTTTTGCTTTTTAGTCCAGGTGTTCTAAAAATTCCCAACCAGCCCATGCCAGCTGTAGCTGGCAAGTAGCAGGTTTGGGCTTTGAGAGTTCAGCAGTTCCAGTTGTGGACATTCAACACACATTCACATGCACCCAATTGTCTGCTCCTTGTTAGCATTCACAGTTTAAGATATCTTTTCCACCTGTGACAGTATGTTTTCATCTGGAAGTGAGAGAGTTATCAGAGCAATCTTCTCCTTTCCTGTTTCTCCTTTTCACTGCTCCAGATCGACCAGCTGAAGCACCGCTTGAACAAGGTGGAGGAGGAGTGCAAGCTGGAGAGGAACCAGTCTTTGAAGCTGAAAAATGACATTGAAAACCGGCCCAAAAAGGAACAGGTTCTGGAGCTGGAGCGGGAAAATGAGATGATGAAGACTAAAATCCAGGAGTTACAGTCCATCATTCAGGTATAAAAGCAGGCTGCTACATTTAAAATTCCTGACACTTCAGCTTGCCCCTCCTGCTTACCCTGAGGATGGATTCAGCAGGTTACAAGCAGTCTTTGTCTCCAGGCACTCTGACATCTCTTCACAACCTGCCTTTGAGGCTGCCCTTTGGGATCTAAATGTCTGGTGGAGCCTGGGGGAGTGGTGACAGCTCCCGTAAGAGACGGGGAGTTGAGTGTCTAACAGGGGAAAAAACTGGTACCTATGGACAGGAGGCAGTGGCCTGGTCTCTGCTGCTGCTCCTCACCTCAAACTCACACACAATCCTGTTGTAGTGCAGCAAGTGTTGGGTGAAACCTCCACCTGCAAAGCTACAACAGACATAAGTGCAGAGTTTGGATAAACAGAAGGTTGGTTGTACAGCTCCCAGCTGTCCATGGCACTCTTTGCACAAACACATGCGGGAGGAGGAGTGCTCCAAAAAACATTGTCATCTAATAAATCAAGCTGTACATGAGAGATTGGCTCCTACAAGGTGCAGAGTGCAGCTGTTTAATTGCTGAGCTTTCAGCTCCGTGGTTTACCCTGCTGTGTTTCTTTGTACCAGCCTGTCACTGCAGAGCTGTGGTAAATGCAGCCCAGAAATTTCTGCCAGTGGCTCTCTGTGCCCTGTCTTGGGCTACTGTCATATCTGTGCCAAATAGTCCCAATGAAGCAGAGGGTAATAAAGGTCCCTGTGCTTGGGTGGTCAGCAGGTACCAGGGTGCCCTGCAGAACTCTGCTGTAACTTGCACAGGGGAACATGTGATGCAGCAAATTGAGCCCTCCTCTGTGAAAAGCTTAGCCAAATATTAGGGTATCTGTGAGAGTACTTAGCACTTTGTTGGAAAAGGCTTGTGGCATTTTAAAATGACACTTACAAAAATATCAGTAGAACGTCTTTCAGAAAGGGCTGTAGCCTCTAGCAGGGCCTGATGATTCCTGGTTCTAAGACGCATCCAATTCAGAAAAAGGGTGGAGTGTAGAAGGTTCTGGTAGTTCTGGTCCATGTAGAATCCCTTATATTAATTGAAATGGCCTTATAGCACTTAAAGGAACAGAGAAGTAACCTTGAAATACCTAAAAATAGGATTAAAATACTCCAAAGCAAAAGTATAGACTAACTCAAAGCAGTTTGTTTTAGAAATGCTTAGGTATGCTTAGAAATATCAGATAACCAAAATGTCCCTGAAATCTCCAATGCAGTCTAGGTATTTCAAAACTAAATATGCATATTTTGTGCTGGCATTTTATGCATTTTTTCATCTTCCTTTTATGGTTAATTTTGGATGGCAATTTATGTGTTGGAACATGTTCTGATAATCTTGTTAATTTTAAATCTGAAAGAAATAATATTGCTGGACAGTAGAGAAAATGAAACAATGGTACAAGCCACTCCAGGCATGTTTAATATTCTCTGGGCACAGCCCTGCAAAGGCTGTGCATGCTTTAAAAATTCCCCTGAATGCTTTCTTAGGCCCTGCTCTTTGGCAAAGGGTGATTTTTGTGCTCAGTGAGAGCTGATTAATAGAAAAGAGTTTTGAATGCAGGGCTTGGAGAGAGAATTGTCACTGCATCCAACATGGATCAAATTATAGCCAGTACAATAGGCCAGTAAAACAATTCCTTCATCTGGCTATTCTGACAGCAAGACAACCTTTATTTATCTTTTCTGACACTTGTTTTAAAATGTGAACAGATGTCTATCTCTTCTCCTGCTTTCCTGCTGCAATACCTTGTTCATTTTCTATTCCTCCTGGTTGTTACTGCCTCTGTTACTTCTCTCCTTGCAGCAATATCTCCCGTTTCCCTGACCTGGCTCATAACAATGTCTTTCCCCAGGCTGACAAGAGGAGTTTGCCAGATTCGGATAAAGCCATTCTGGATATTCTGGAACACGACCGTAAGGAGGCACTGGAAGATCGTCATGAGTTGGTCAACAAGATCTTTAATCTCCAAGAGGAGATCCGTCATGTCGAGGACCTGAGAGACAAGGTGAGAAACGGAAGGGGAGAGAGGTGGGATATCTCAGGGTGGGCCCCAAAAGGCCTCTGAGGGCAGTGGTGGTTAACAGTGTGTCATTTCCAGTACCTTGAGGAGAAAGAGGATTTGGAGTTGAAGTGCTCAACACTAGGAAAAGACTGTGAGATGTACAAGCACCGTATGAACACTGTGATGATACAGCTGGAAGAGGTGGAAAAGGAGCGAGACCAGGTATCTAACAGTTAAAGAGGGGGAAATCAGTAGCAAAAGCCTCCATCTCCTCTGTGTCACTTCGGGGAATTGTGGGTAATTGGGCCCAAAATACCGTTATAAAATTAGCGGTTGAAAGAATTACTTGTTGGAATTTGCATTACAGTAATTAAGCATAGGATAATATTGGGTTGTTTCCACTGTGTAGCATCTGGCAGGCAGGACCAAGGTCTTAACAACAGCCACTGCAAGGCTTTATGTCAGTGTTAAGTCACCCCATTTGCACTCTGGAGCATTTTCCCACCAGCCAAGAGGGAGCTGTAAATGAACCACCCTCATCATCGTAACTTTTAATGGTTCTGCTGTGGCACATCCAGCTCCTTACTGCTGTGTTAATTGGCGACTGGGTACCAGTTCTGAAGCCCCCGTTCCAAACACCTCACAAACAAACCCAGCAGGAGAAGTGTCTGGTGCCCGGGTGCCCAAGAGGCTTCTCCTCCCCGCCGCAGGCGTTCCGCTCGCGCGACGAGGCCCAGACACAGTACTCGCACTGTCTGATCGAGAAGGACAAGTACAGGAAGCAGATCCGAGAGCTGGAGGAGAGGAACGACGAGCTCCGGATCGAGGTGGTTCGGAAGGAGGCGTGTATTGTCAACCTGGAGTGCAAACTCCGGCGGCTCTCCAAGGACAACAACTTCCTCGACCAGGTAGGGCTGAGGAACACGGATGTGATTTCTTTGGTTAAGGTTTGCTTTTCCAAACATTTTGGTGTGGAAGGGAGAGGGGGCTTTTTTGATTCTCTCCATGAATTTACTGAAAAAAAAATATCTCCTCCTACTAAATGTGACTGCTGTGAGTTCTTCACTGTAATGTGGTTCAGGTTGTCTGTCGTGGACGTGGTTTCCCTAAGGCTGGAATTTCACAGCTTTGATTTTGAAATGGAAGGGAATGAAGTGCAACAAACCCATTGTTTTCCACACTGGGATAGAAATTACAAATACTTTTGAGGAATGTGCCCCAGTGAACAGGAAACCCCACAGATAATCTAAATTACTGGTTTGGGTCTGGCACCACATTCTTCACAAGCTTCTGAGGCACTGGAGTCACAACAGCTTCAACCATATTACTCTAAAGGAAGGTCATGAGTTGTACCAAACCGGTCTCAGAAGCAAAGTGTTTCCTTGTGATCTTTAGAGTTTGCCACGGAATCTACCCATTACCATTATCTCCCAGACCTTCGGGAACTCCAGCCCAAAAGCCAACGGTCAGGAAGCCGATGACTCCTCCACTTCTGAAGACTCTCCAGAAGACAACAAATTCTTCTTGCCTGATCAAGCTCGTCTCAAGAGAAGACTGAATCTAAAGGGAATCCAGGTGTGTTCTGAATATGAGGCTGGAATGATACAGAGATACTGATAGAACTAACAGACCTGACACATGTTGCGGTGGTGCCTCTGAAAGTGCTGTGGTGTAAAGATAAGAATTGTTTTGTGTGTGATAGTGAGCTGTTAGTTTTTGCCCTGTGGTGATTTGCATCTTGAGGGGCAGATACAATCAAGCTTCATAGACCATTTTCTGTCCCTTCTGCCCATTTTGTGTTTTCTTCTTGCTTCTGCTGTTCATTCACATTCTTGGAGCGTTGTCGATAAATTGATTCTTTGCCTCCTTAACACTGGTGGGAAAAAAATTACATAATGCCCAAGGTCCAACACACACTGAAGGCAAAAAAAGAAGCATCGGTGAAAGAGCTCACATCAGCTGGAAGGAAAAATAGAAAGAAATAGGCACAATCTAGAGCAAAATTAACTGTCTAATTTAGAATTAAATTATGGCAATTTCCTCTCCCCTAAGAGGAAGAGGCAGCATGGGTTAGGTTCACGATTTCCCTGACTAGCTGCATTCACACAGCTATTACCTGGTGCTACATTCATGAATTGTAAAAAATATAAAATCTAACATTTGGGGTTTTGAGGTTCCCGTTCCTTTCATCTGCAGTTGAATTGTCCCTGCCCTTCGTAACCTTTCTGAGCTCTGACTGTCATTATTACTTATGGCAATAGAGCTGCATTTTTCACATTGCCCACTCCAAAAGGATACCCCTTGTATTAACAGCTGGCTAAATCCAGTCCCAAGGCACCCACTTCACCTTTTGTCTCTTTGTTCCCTCAGGAGAATCTGGAAAGTGCAAGGTATTTGGGGCAGACTTCCCAAAGCAGTCAGGTAGCCAACCCTTGATGACTGCCAAGGCATTGAAATACCTAAATATCTTCTGAATTTGGAGTCCTGTTGTTTAAAGGAGGGCAAATACATTGCAGGATAGCAGTGAAGAAAAAAAGGGTGAAAATATCTGGTTTACAGTGTGTGGCAAGTATTCTGCATTTGTGCTGATTTTTGTCCTCTTTCTTTTAGATAAGTCCAAGAGCTAAATCCCCTGTCAGCATGAACAAAACATCAGAGTTTCAAGGTCAGAAAGAGCACCCATGTCCTTATTCCTTTTCCACTGCTTTGTCTCATTCACTTAATCTCTTTAAGTTGTTTTAACAAATATGCCAGCCAGGGAAATTCCTGAGTAAGTCCAAGTCACTAAAATAGGCAGTTTCTCTCATAGTTACCAATGTCATAATATAAGGTAATTTAGTGTTCTGTCTGAATGTCCTCTCCATCTAAAGATACTTCCATAATCATGTGAAATATTGCATCCCATAGCTTACCTAAACTTTCTATTTACTTGATTTTTCCCTTTAAGTTTACAAAAACTTTGAAGTCATTTGTGTAACATCTGTACTCCAAGTCATTATACCATTCTCCCTTTGCTGTTGGAAAAATCATTCAAGCTGAAAAGGCCCTAATCTAGTGATTGTCTAATGAGTTCTTTTGTCCTTCAGCAAAAGGGAATTAATTTTAAATCTAAAGCATTGCAAAGGCTGGGGGAGGGTGATTGACCCACCCACCAGCCAGCTGCCAAGTTACCATAGTTGTTGCTGTATAGTCATGTTTGAACTACTCCTAATTCCACTTATTTATGTAAAACTGTTCTCAAACCAAACACCATTGTAGGCAGCACTTCCTTTAGTTGGTATGTGTGGCAGTGGGATCCTTGTTTTACAAAATATGATGTCAAACATGGTTTCTGCTACAAGATATCCCATGTTAAATAGTAGGTTTAGTATCAGGCAATGTGCATCATTGTACAAATCAGAGGTGCTGAGGAAGGGAAGGAGTTCCCAAAGACATTGACACTGTTTTATCTGGGGCTGCTGAGGGATCTCAAGCTTCTTGGTCCCTGTTGTGAATTTTTTGCTGTGAAAAAAGCATGATTCAGTGAGTCAGCCTTATTGCAGACTGCCAGATTCAGGTGATGAAGTTAAAGCAAAACTTGATGAAACAATCCTTCTTCAATGGGCAAACAACATTCATGGATCTATTAAAAACACAGAGAACAGAGTTGAGAGGCAGAGCCTGTCCAGAGTGGTGGTCATTTGTGTGCAGTGTTGGGAGCTGACGGGGAAGAAAAGGGAACTGGAGCTGCAGGGCACAGAGTGTGTCCACTACAGCGTAGGGGAAACAAGATCAGCTGAAATGGGAAGATAACCTTAAGTGTTGTTGCACATCTGTGGCAGACTGTTTGGGAAGTGGTCTGACCTGTGCTGTCGGTGTTTCCCTGTCTCCCACGAGCGCAGCAGTGAGAGCGCAGGACGAGGACGGGGCCGACGGCAGCAACGGCCGCACGGACACGAGTTCTTCTGTCTCCATCAGCAGCTGTGAAGTCAGCAAGATTGTAAGGAGCCTCCACATGCCCCTGGCCTGTCTAGGCCGTTCCTCCTGTTGTAGTTGAGAGCTTTCACAACCTAGAATTAGCCCTTCCCAGCATCCCAGCTGTGATCACATTCAAGGCCCTTGTCAGAGGGTCCCTTAATCCTTTTACCAGCATTTTGTTAGAACCATGTTTTTAGCCTTTCCCCAAATAACAGAATTGGTTTATGTTTATTTAAAGATATTTTAAAGGTATTTATGACCTCTCCCTGGCTCCTTTATGCCATTTCATATTTTCTGTTAGAAGAGATTTGCTTTCAAAGCTGCTTTGTAACTTATTTAAGAAAATTGTAAGGGTTTTTTGAGTTCCCTAATGCCTTTGCTGTCTCCAAGTATCAGTGAGTGAGAAAAGAGGTGCAGATCACAGTTGGAAATTTCTGCATACCATACTCAAACCATTTCTTCCCTGCTTGCTGTATCCCCATAATCTCCCAAGGTAGATATTTCATTATACATATGTGAGCACTGACACAGCAGGACAACCAGAGAGAGAGACTGCTCTCGCAGAGTGTTAATAACAAAGAACAAAACATCTTTCTAGAGCACCGTGAAAAATGCTGCCCCCAGGAAATTAAAATTATGCTCAAGAATAGCCAGGAAAGAACTCCCTGCCACTTTTAATAAGCTTAGCTAGGTTAGGAGTATTCTTTGGAATATCTGTTGGATGTTTTAGATGATTTACACTGTCTTCCCCTCTACTACAATTCAAAGTTTAGTTTCCAGTGTACTGGGAGATTAATATTTTAATGTATGGAGATCTGTATTTTTCTAATTTATACATATGAGTACGCATACATTCTGCTTTGCATCCTCTTCATCCTGCAAGTCAACTGTGCAACACACGCACACATCAAGGGTAAAGTCACAATGGTTTAGTAAATCAGGCAGTCCTGTGGTCCCAGGAAAAGGTACAGTGCCAGCACCCAAGCTGTGCCCAGTGCTGAGACACTGCAATCTGTGAATGCTCCTGAGCGCAGCACTCTGCTCAGCGAGAATCAATTTTTCTTGATGCCGTGTGCGGAGCAGAGCACCACGGGCTAATGCAGCTGTGAGTTAGAGATGAGAGCACATTTCAGACAGATAACCTTGCTGACACCTCTCGGTGTTTCTCTTGAAGCAGGCGCTGAGGAATCGCAACGACAGCATCATGTCGACCACTCCTGAGCCTCCGGGAAACGACTCCATAGTCCGGCGGTGCAAGGAGGACGCCCCTCACTGCAGGTGGGTCCCCACGCTGGGGAAACACCCCTGGAACCTGCTGGCTCAAGGAGAAGGTGGAAAGGGCTGCAGATGTCCTTGTGTCTGGCTCCGGTTGAAGAGCTTCTGTAAGGCAGCAGGGTTAACGTGTTAAAACTGCTCAAGGCCGCAGTCCTTCATCCCACATCTTGTCCAAACCGCTCAGGGGCCTCCGGTAGTGCAGCTGGGATGAACGATGGTGATGCCCCTGCAACAGTGACTTCTTAATGTACATAAATAGAAATAGTACTGAAATGGCACCAGTGCTGTTGGAGGAAGTGCTCTGCCTTCATACATTGAAACAGCTTCAGTTTTTGCTGCCTGTGTCTGTCCCTGTCCTTTCCCCTTCTCTCAAAGCCCCTCCTTCTGCTCTGTAAAGCTGCCAAAATAGAGCAGAGCTGCTTGAAAGTCTGTGAAGAACAAGGGGGAGAACTGGAGGAGGGAGATGGTTTTCATCAGGCTCAGGGCTCTGTATCTCAGCATAGCAATGAGGGGAGAGAGAGGCATCGCCCTCGGCTTCACCTTCTGCTGCAGCGTCCACTTCTGTGGGGTCACAGCCCTGTGGACTTCCCCTGGCATAGAAATCAGATCAGCTGGTGAGTGGAAAGTCGGTGGCAGGAAGGAGAGAGATCTCTCCTGCCTCACAGTTCCCTAAATGGCACTGACCCCTGTTCTGAAAAGTTTATGGCAATGCCATACTGTGTTGGTGTCAATGGCATCAGTGTTTGTATCAGAAGGATCAGAAGATACAAATACAGTCCCTAAAGGTCCCAAAAGAAAACAATATATGTGGAGGGTTTTAGTCTTTATTACATCTGTTTTAAATATCTAATCTTTGTTAGGAATTTATTCAGATTTTTAAGTTTTTCAAAACTGATTTTGGGCAGACAAACACTTCTGCCTCTCTCTCTCTGTAGAGCTTTGCAAGACAGCTTCCCATTGAGGGCATCCTTAGCTGGTTCTCCCTTATAATTTTCTAGGCTGCTGAGGATTTCGGCAGTGTTTATTCTAGTCTCCCTTAGCTTCTCCTATATTGTCCTCCAAGTCCCTTTTTTTAAGTGTGCTGTATTAATTCAAGATGAAGAAAAAAAGGTTGTTTAATTAATGATTTGAATGGTTCATGTTTCAGGCGCTTGAGAAGCCTTTGGCATGCCTGAACGGTTCAATATTTGCAGTATATTACAGAATGCAGTACAGATTACATGGAGATTATTCATCCTTTGGACTTATTTCACTGTAGCTCTGACTATATTCTGTTCCATAAGTTAAGGCATTGGAAGACTTAGTTATACTGAAATTTGGAATTTTCTCTCAGATACTCTTTCTCACTGACATGTGGAAGGAAAAGGTACCCTGGAGCAAGGTCTGAATGTGATCTTTGTTGAGCTGATAATCACCAAAGTCAAGTATCTCAAGAACGTGCCCAAAAGTTCACTGTAGTTTATAACTTTATAATTAGCCTGGTAATTTTTTTTTAACTTATTTGTCAACATAATACAGAATACTTGCTATTAGCATGCCAAGGTGCAGGTTTCAGAGTTCATCTGATCTTAATTTGTGTGTGGGGAAAAAAAAGTGAGATCATTATTTAATGTAGGAAAAAGTATATTATTTCTCTGCTTATGCATGGTATAAAAATAGCTGACTCTGTGCAACCTGGCTGCAAAAAATTCACCCTTCATCTGAAGCCAAATATGAGGAATATCAGCTTCACAGGAGACCTACAAATCATTCTGAATGGGAAAAACAACAAGCTGTTGTTTAAACAGCTTTGCAACCAAAGGACATGCTTTAATGAAGTCCTTCCAGGGAAGCAGGCAGATCACTCACCTGGCTGGACAGCCCCGATATTGCTGGAAGAGCAAAATTTTGGTGAATTTTAACTGTTTGTTTTTAAGGCCAACCAATGTAGTCTCCTGTCACAGGAAGGGCTGTGTCAGTGGGAGCTGGGCTGGGAGCAGAGCTGTGGCAGTTTCTGTGCCAAGGCCTGGTACACCTTCATTCTGTGCTGTAGGTACCTGAGTAACCCTGTGGGGTGCCACTAAACCGATATAAAACACATCAAGGGTTTTAAATCAAGCAGGTGAATTATTCCTTTACTGCTGCACCTCAGTCACTTCCCTTGCATTCAGTCTGTCCCTCAGTGAGCTTCTGATGTTTTTGATACACCTTGGAAAAAGCCCGTGGTGCAGGGTATGTACAGCAGGCATTATGCAGTCATTTATCTCAGATGTGGTGTGAGTCACACACATGAGACCATCAGTCAGCAGCTTCCCTTTGGCTTCAGCAAGGTCTTCATTCCCCTACTGCTGTTAGCAGTTCTTCCCTCTGAACCTTCTTGCTGCTTCAGATGCTTCCCATGTTGGCTGACACATATTGTCTTCCTGCCATTTTCCTACATTTTCCCTGGACCCACTTTACTTGCTTCATTTCTTGCAGCTGTGCCATTGCCTGATGCAACACCTCCAACATCTTCCTTTTTCACAGAAGAAGTTCCTCTTTCAGCACTTAATGGAATCTGCTGAAGGAAATCTGCTGAAAGCTGGCAAGTGAACAGCTTTCTCTCTCTCTCTGTCTCTCTCTCTCCCCCATTATCTCATGCTTTGTTTTTAATTCCAGCCTGGTTGAAGAGGACAATGACAGCTTTGGATGTGATGCTTTGGAGCTGGATGGTAAGCAAGAGGATATCACGTGTACAGTTGAACTATGAGATCTGTGTGATTAGCTCCCCAGCTAATCAGAGACTGGCAAATAACCAGCTCCTGCTCTAAATAATGGGACACACAGTCTGAGAATAAATCAAGAAAACAAAGGGTCAGCTAGTGGTGAGAATGACAAAGCAGTTATTCCTGAAGAACTGAGTGGGAACAGGGTTGGTTTTTTTACTGTGAGGCTGCTCAGACTCTGGAACAGGGTTGTCCAGAGATGTTGGCCAGTCTCCATCCTTGGAGATATTCAAAGTCCTGAGCAGTCTCCTTGAGCTGACCCTGCATTGAACAGGGATTTAGAGTAGACAGTCTCCAGACACTCTCCCTTCTCACTTGCTGTTGTGTGACAGTGATCAGGAAGGTCCAATAAGCAAGGCTGGCATTCCTTGTGCCGTGTCCTGTAGACATGAATAATACCTCTGCATCAGGAATTTCCTCCTTCAGCTTTGGCTGGGACCAATCAAACATTCACTTTCCCCTTTTCCATTTTTGTCACTCTATCCAGGACTCGTTTTCATTCTTGTTTCTCTTTCCAGATGACAGTCATGACAGGCAGTCACACGGAGCTCCTTCAGTGCACTCTTCCTCTTCTTCTCATCAGTCAGAAGGCCTGGATGCCTATGACCTTGAGCATGTCAACTCCCTGTTTAGGAAGTTCTCTCTGGAAAGGTATTTGAGATGACAGAAACTGAGGGGACAGTCTGCTATGGTGGAGGTCCTCTAGTTATCTGTTAGTTGCTGAAGATATGGCAGGAGTGATGTCACAAGTTATTATTTGACACAAATATGATACTGTGCTAAGTCTTTATTTCTTTATGGTGGCAGTATAACATCTTATCTTGGAGCCCTCTCATGTCCTCTAAACCCACAAAAGTCATCCTAAAATTTCAAAAACTTTGAGGCAGACAAAATTTTCCAAAGGCTTGAATTAATCCTTGTGACCTTGCTGTCTTGTTGCAAGAGGTTGCTGATTGCAGCACTGTCATACCCTGAGTTACCCAGTCATGCCAGAGCACTTGAAGCTGTCCAGACGCTCTTCTCCAGAACCTGTGCAGCATCAAGAAGGACTTCTTCCAGAGTCCTTAGACCTTAGTGCTTGATAATACTTTTTTATTTATTTACGTGTCTCTCATTTGTCATGCATTTAACTCAGACTGAGGTAACTGTCGCCTCCTCTCGTGACCACAGGCCCTTTCGTCCCTCTGTCACCTCCGTGGGCCGCCTCAGGAACTCGTGCCACGCCATCCAGCGCGTGACGCTGAACGGGGACAGCCTCAACTCCGAGATCACCCTGGTGGGGGGCAACGACAGAGGCAGCTTCATCAGCTCTGTCAAGACAGGATCACCTGCAGAGAAAGCTGGGCTTCGGGAGGGCCACCAAATCCTCCTGGTGAGCTGGAAATAATCAACAAACAGTACTGGATGCCTGGCCACCTACATATGCTGTCCCTGGTCTCACATAAGTTCAGCAGTGCTCTTGCTAAGTTTCCCTTTACCAGTTTTTCTCTCTGTTGCCAATACCTCCAAAACATTTTCCTCTTAAAATGCCTCCAAGGGGAAAAAAACCCCAACCCACAATTTATATTCCTGTACTACTTACTTGTGGGAAGCCTGAAATTGCCAAAGTGCTGCAGCTCTGTTGACTGCTGGCATTCCTAATACGAGAAAAAAGAAATTAAATAATCACAACATAATCTACATCCTGATAGCAAAGTGTCTGCATTATTTAATGAGAGAAATATTATGGCACTTAAAAAAAAAATTGTATAATTGACTTAGAGATTGAACCTGCATTGGAAAGTAATATTTCTTTCATATCTAGTTGGAGGGCTGCATTAAAGGGGAAAATCAGAGTGTTCCCTTGGATACTTGCACAAAGGAAGAAGTTCACTGGACAATTCAGAGGTGCAGTGGTCCAGTAACACTCCAGTATAAATCAAATCATGAAGGTAAGACCAGAAGTATTTCTTATCTCAAACAGTCCCAGGTCTGTTACAGCAACCTGTCTGGAAGAGAGTGACAAAACCAGAGCATCCTTTGTATTGGGATAAATCTGGTGTAATTAATACCGGTGGTGTTAATTACAGCTCCTCTTTGGAACTGCTCCAGCTTTTAGCCCTGTGACTGAGAACGAAAAAAAGCCCATATGCTTGTCACTACAGGATTCTGAAGAATTTACGTGGTGGGCCAGTAACGACATGACTCACAAAACACATTCAAGCTTATTTTTATGTGCAGTTTTCTGCAATACAGTGTGGTGAGCTGAGTGATCTTTATCCAGCTGGTCGATTTAGCATTTACCTGATGGAGTTGCCCTGTTTATTACCATTGTGCCTTTATCTTATCTTTAACAGCTGGAGTTCATGTTTGGCGAACAGAATTTGATTTTAGTGTTCATGGCCTATAATGATAATTTCAGGTTATGGATCAAAAATTACATTCCAAAATCCACTTTTTACTTGTATGTATAAATTGGCTTTTGTTTTGGGTTGGGTTTTTTTTGTGCTGGCTAGAGAATTTCAGCTGCATAGATCACGCACAAAGCAATATCTTTGATTTTCTTTGATGTTTTCAGAGGTAGGAAAGACTATTGCAATTTTTTTTTGAGCGCCACTTAACTGCAGATAAAGAATGTTATAGATTCTGGGAGTGCCAATTAGAGCTAATAATAAGGAGAACAGCTTGTCATTAAATTGGTGGCAGCACTCACATGGTACTTAGAGGATGGAGCTGTGTCTGTGTCTTTGCAGAGTTGTGTTTCACAGGTCATGGGTGGAGTACTGAAAATGGAGTTCCCTATAAGTAGCATTATAATGAGAATATTCTCACAGGTCTGACACCAGCAGCGTGGGCTGTCCCTGAGCCCCACTGGTGTCTCTAAGGGGCAGGCCCATGACCTCGCTGCAACCAGTGTAACCAGCACTCTGTAAGAACAAACCCTCTCTCGGAGGAGCTGCAGAAGTTTGTGCTGTGGCTTCTTGGAGAGGATTCCTGGGAATGCAGCAACACCGAGGTGTGAGATCCTGCCTCACCCCTTCCCTCACTGCTGCAGGGTACAGGAAGCTGCTGTCAGAGCTGGAGGAAGGGCTGATCACATCGGGGGACTCGTTCCACATCCGCCTGAACCTGAACATCTCCAGCCAGCTGGACTGCTGCTCGCTGTCCGTGCGGTGTGACGAGATCGTTCACATCCTGGACACCATGTACCAGGGCAGGTGTGAGTGGCTCTGTGCCAGGGTGGATCCGTTCACGGACAGGGACCTGGAAATGGGGACCATCCCCAGCTACAGCAGGTGAGTGTGATGCTGAGTGACTATGACTGAGAGCAGTGGCTCTGTGAACAGGGACATGAATAACTGCTGTAAGGAAAGAGGTATATGTCTTAATTTTTGACATAAGAGCTGGTGATGTTAAACTGTAATACAAACTATAAAGCTGTAGAAAAGACACTCCAGATGTTACTTGAAAGAATAATGTGGCTTACTCAAAAAAGTATCATATGAAAATATGCCATGGAGATTCTTTAATCCTTAACTGCACTGCAGTCCTGCTCATTATTTTGTTCCTGCATATACTGCATGGTTCAGTCAGTCCTCACTGCTATTTCTATTCAATCCTTTCTGTAGGCACAAAGCCACTACAATCCAGCTTTCTTGTGAGTGGTTTCAAAAATGTCTTGATCAATGTGATTCCATTCTTTCTTTCAGAGCCCAGCAACTCCTTTTGGTGAAGCTGCAGCGGTTGATGCAAAGAGGAAGCAAAGATGAGACAGAAAACTCCTACAACACCCTTCGGGCACTCCGGGTAAGTGTGTACAAACAAGGTCTTCTGAACACCTGATACTTCTCTGATACTTGTTTTTCATTTTTCTCTTTTCATCATCAGTTTACAGAAAGTCCTGCTTACACTCTGTGTAGGTTTTGGTTGTGCCAAGAAATGGGCACCTTATGTTGACTTTAAATTATATTGTCCCTCTCAGTGAACATAGATCTGACTTACAATTAACCCTTCCAGCTCTGAGGGAGCACACTTTGAAAGTCAAGTCTCTGTTCTGTGTTTTAGTTAATCCTTTCTGTCCTTCTCAGCCTGTAAACCTCTAATGCACCTTCATTTGCACATGAGGAAGAAGATGTGTCCTTGGAGTTAATAATCAGAATTATGTCTCTCCTATTGTGAACAAACCTCTAACCCACAGAGCCTGTTTTCCCACATTTAGAAAGACTTGTCTCTTCCAACTTACATGCTATGGAGAGAATTGGGATTATCAAGTCTTCACACATGATAGCCCTTCTAGTTTCTCCTTTTCCACCAGTGAAAGTAATTTGATTTTTCTTTCTTTAGACCCAAAAAATTCCGTCTTTGCATAATCAAAACTACCTTTCGGGTGTATTAGTTACCATAAGTTATTTTTAGAGTCTGGGAGACACATGTGCTTCTAACATTTGCAAAGGCAGGTAGACAGTGCTTGTACTTGATTTCAGTCAAGGTGAAGTGTCACACATTCCTTCTCTACTCGTGTCCCCACTGACCAAAGGGACAGAGGTCACTGGCAGAGGTGCTGGTGAAAGCAAGAGCTTTGCATGCTCTTTCTTGGTGCAGAAATTACTTCTTTCTTAAGGTGTGGAGAGCAGTCTCCTGTGAAAAAGGGGATGTGGAAGAGCAGTGAATGAGCAGGGTTTCTCAGCTCGGACCGTGCTATGTCTGCAGTTCTTTAGAACATTGTATCTGGGATAGATATCAATCACTAGCCCTTTAATTTGAAATATGAAGTATCTGCTTTTGCTTGTTTTGTTTCTCAATTGTTTTGATTAAAAACCAAACAAACAAACACACAGAAAAAGAGGGTGGGGAAGAAAAATTCCTGTGTTATTTTTTGATAGAATACATTGCAGCCAGAGGAGCCTGCCCAGCCCAATGACCCAAAAACCAGCCCTCGCCTGTCCAGAGCCAGCTTTCTTTTGGGCCAGATTTTACAGGTAATAAAGTTCAAATCCTCAATGCAGTGTCTGAAATAGTGGATCTGAACAGCAGATATTCTCAGGCTATCCTAATTCCCCCAGAAATCCCAGCTCAGGTACAGAGGTTGTATCTAGGAATTTATTCCTATCAAAAAGAGATTTAATACATGAAAGAGAAGGATGGGTTGTGTTTTCTCTGGTGATGTGGGGTGTTCATTTTTAAGAGCATGCCTGCCATTACGATGTACCTTGAGGAATCCCACACGTCTGCCATCAGAGGCTGAAATGTGTTTTGCTTGAACCATAAGGACAAATCCATTGGGCTAGACCAAATCTCCAAGTCTGTGAGATAAGGCTCCATCAGAAAATAGTCCTTTATTTGTGGGTCAGTGACTCTGAGCGTGACAGAGGCTGTGTGGGTGAAAGATAAAGTCTTGTGAAGGAAGGTGGTTGTGAAGGTTAGCAAATACACAGGAGGAGGAATTAATATTTGGATAGAGGAATAGCAGGGTGGGCGAGGAAGGAAAGCATGAAACCTGTTTCTCATGTGTAAAATGACTGTAAGAAGATGCCATTTGGGAGATTTTAAGTCCCTCTGGTAGAGCAAAGAAGAGGCAGTTTGGGTATAACATGTGATACATTTGAGCACATGCTCTGGGTATGTTACTCTGCTGAGGGCACAGCAGTGCTTGTACTGGTGATGGCAGGGAGCTCTGTGAAGGGAAACCGTGCCTCCTAAGAGCAGAGAACAAAACAAGAAATCCCAAAGGGGATTAGCAAAGGCTCTGAATCAGATCTGTGATATTTAAAGAGTCTTACAATTCAGTCAGCAGATCCACGGAGTCCTGTCTTTGATAGACACTGGTAATTCAGACCTCGTAGGTAACACGTGCTGGCTGATGAATACATGGGGGAATAAATAACGCAAGAAATGAGAGTCAAATCCCTTTTTTTTTTTTTTTTTTGTTCACCTTTTCAGTTTGTCAGTAGGTCTGAAAACAAATACAAGCGCATGAACAGCAACGAGCGCGTCCGCATCGTCACCGGCTGGCCCTCCGGTCTGGCACGCACCTCCTCGGAAGCAAAGAGGCAGTTGCCTGAGAAACTAGAAGGTATGGATATAAAACAGCTTTTCCACACGTGGCACTGATACAAGGGCCTACATAAACATCCAACATAACAGCATGGCTGAGAAAAGTGTCCCAGGCCCTGCCTGTCACTGGCATTTGTGGTCCCATCTGCAAAAATTCAACAGCAATTGAGACCCAAACTGATTCTGCTAAAAGTGCTTGGGGCACTAAGCCCTCATGAGCAAGTTTAGGACACTGAAACTTTCTGTTTGGCTGGAAGTTCTTCCTGGGTGCTTTCTTGCTTTTTGTTCAAAAACATTGAACTCAAAGAGAGTCGAGCTAAGAAGCAGAAAGAGTCCCCAAACAAGTGTCGTGCTGAAGAGATTACGGAATAATCTCCTGAAAGCGAAAGGCACTTGAATTACTTAGCATTAGGTTGGCCATCATGCTGCTGCATCCACACTAAAGACAACCCTGGCAAAAAGGAAAAGAGGACCAGCATGACTGACCATGTTATTTCTGGTTCACGTGTTTCTCCTTCTTTTTCTCCAAATATTGATGGAGAGGAAACCAGAGGATGAATGTCTCTTGTTCTTTGCTCAGATCTGGATTCTGAAAGTGAAATCAATAAGAAGCTCAGTCTGATCCCCTATAGCCTGGTGAGGCCCATCCACTGTGAGCGCAGGCGCCCCGTGCTTTTCACCCCCACCATGCTCGCCAAGCCCTTGGTACAGAAGCTTCTCAACTCTGGAGGTGCCCTGGAATTCAACATCTGCAAGCCAGGTAATGGGATAAAAGAGGGCCACGACTTCCACCCCTCAGTGCTGGAAATATGAACATCTATATGCTCAGACACGTAGGGCCATGAACATGGGAGAGTTGCTTGAGGTACTTCAAGTCACATCAGAGTGATGTGTAGCTGTAAATCCTGCTTTTTTGAGACTATCTGAGATATTTGAATGTTTCTGAGACAGCCAGTGCACATGGTTATGAGATTCTGTGTCTATAAATATTATCCATGTGTATGCTGTGTGGTTGCTAGGCTGCCCCTCAGAGACTGAAATGCTGTGAGTGCTCTTTCTGTTTGCATACTGTTTGCATACTGCATATCTAGGCAATGTGAAATTTTGATTAATTTGTTTCTAGTATTTGCTATTATGAGGAATATCTTCCCTAGAGCGACTTTAGGTTTCTGTCTCATCCAAGCTGTGAAGATTGTGCATTTGATCTACTCGAAAGACTGATTTTCTTCCATGCTAAGTATTTACTATTAAAGCAATAGCAGTACCGTGATGGCTGGAGGGCAGGATTGTACACAACACAGCATTAAACAGAGCTGACGTTTCATTTTTACACTAATATTGAATACCCACCGCACAGAATGCAGCCTTACAGTCATCCAGACACAGAAACTGAGAAGTTAAGTATTATAATAAATATCCCCTGTCTTGTAACATAAAACAAAAGCTTTGATGTAGAGCTGCAATTCACAAGGGGGCCGGTACCACACATTGCAACCTAAGCCAAATTTTTTTGAAACTTTAAACACAAATGTTGGAACACTAAACCCTTGCTTTAGGATGCTGTGCTGAAGAGACCTTCTTTTTTTAGCGCTTCTCAGCATCCTCCATCCCTGAACTGTTACTATATAACATTAGGTGCTGGAATTGTATTTACTGTTTTAATTTAATGCCTTCATAGTGCTGTAGTAATTGCCCAAGGACTCATTGGTGCAGGATATAGCTGAGATGCTCAGCTGTGATCAGATTAGGCTTTAATTGAATTCAATGGAAGAAATGAGGCAGCTGTTAAGACAATTCATTGCTCGTCTTCCTTCCCTGAACCATCCTTGCATCCCGGGTGAAGTATTATTGGATAGTTTTCTACGTGTTCTGCTGTTGTAAACTTGATTTTGTCCCCATCCACATCTCTTTCTAGACATTGTAACAAAGGAAGAGTTCTTAAGGAAGCAAAGGACAGAGACTGTCATCTTCAGCAGAGAAAAGAATCTGAACACGTACGAATGTATTGTACCTGCCAATATCGAGGCTGTCACTGCCAAGGTGTGCAGAGTCCTCAGTGTCCCTTCACTGGGCTGACTGTGAACCTCTCTGCAACGCTTTGAATAAGAGACTGACCAATTTACAGCTGCATGTTCTCTCTCTTGCCCGTCTTCAACCTCAGATTTGTATTTATTCCCCCCAATGGCTTTTATTTGTGCTCTCGCTTCTCCTTTCCTTTTCCATCCTCAGCCATATCCTTTTATATTCTCCCTCATTCCTTGTGATGACCCACATTGATGCAGCAAAATATCCTTTCATTTTCTATGCTCCATCCCTTATTCATTTCCTTTTCATATCATAAGCACATATGAATACATGAGAGAGTAAGAGATACAAGGACCTAGACAAAGGAAAGGAAAGCCTGAAACCCAGAGACAGGGGTGTTCAGAACAAAGATAACAATGCCAAAGACAGAGATCTGATGTCAAATAGAGTAGATTTGATGCACAGCATGGAAAAAAAGGAGAATTAAAGGGATGCTTTTTCTCTCATAAGTAGTTGCAGTAGATGTTCTTTCTGAACAAAGAGCAAGTCTGTGTGTTTGTGTCTATATGTAAAACTGGTATTTTATCATACTTTTCATCTTTGGAGCAAATCATTTCTATTTAAACCTTTTTTAAAAAGCTGTTAAGCTCAGCTGTTATTTGTCTGACTGGTTTAAACTAGTAGGAGGAGCTGGACTTTAAATGTATATTTGATTAAAAGGTTTTAAATCAGTACAATGGTAAATAGAGAGCTTTCCAGCTGACCCCTTAAGGGATGGATACCTTTATCATGAGATTCCAGAGCAGTGAATGTTCCTTTGTGACAATGTTATGACTTTGTTTTTAGAACAAGCATTGTCTCCTGGAGGCTGGAATAAGCTGCACAAAGGATTTAATCAAAGCCAAGATATATCCTATTGTTCTCTTTATCAGAGTCTCAGAGAAAAACATCAAGAGATTCAGGTAACATATCAAACCTTTTGCATATTTGATGTTCCGTCTTATTCAGTGAATAACTCTTGAGTCCAATAATGTTCTCACTGAGAGAAATAAAGGACCTCATCTCTCCTAATGTATGTGCACTGTTTCCTCCCGTGACTCCTCCCTGAAATCTTACAACCAGAGGAAGCAGGAATTCCCCAAATCTAGCACTCTTTCACTGTCACTGGCAGCAATGAGCATTGTGGGAGGATGAGACCGAAGAATATGTGTTTTTCTCTGTGCTCAGCCCTCCCACAGCATTTCTTAAGGTAATGCTGGCTGGAAGAGGGAAGGTCGTAAACACTTGCACTCTCCTCCACTCAATCCTCTTAAATTGTTTCCCCATAGCAAAAATGTTTCCTTGGGGTAGCATGGAGGTAAGGGGAGGGTAGGCCTGGAGTAGCTGTGTTCTCCACTGCTTTTATTGCTTGTATATAGTTAGTAGACAGTAAATTCTTGATGGGACAGCTGGGACTACGGGATTAACTCAAACTGTAAGACGTTTATTTTTGGTCTGCTCATTTGATACAGGAAACTACTGCCAAAGCCGGAGGCTGAGGATGAGTTTTTACGTATGTGCCGTCTGAAGGAGAAAGAGCTGGAGGCGCTGCCCTGCCTTTATGCCTCTGTGGAGGCAGATGCTTGGAGCAGCATTGAGGATCTCATCCGAACAGTAAAAGACAGGATCATAGAGGAGCAGCGGAAAACCATCTGGGTGGATGAAGATCAGCTGTGAAAAAAACAGTGGGTGAAATGGAACTCCTTGGCGACCAAAGGACACGCCCAGGTGGAGCGGGGGTTCCCAGAATTCTCTGTTAGGTGCCCAGAGCTCACTCCTGTTTCACCCTTGCTGGCTGAGGATGCATGTATGGAATGGAACTGGAGCTGTGTTGAAGAGCCTGGGTGCTGGGATCCAGGCTGTGGGTCAGGCCACAGCCACCGCCACAACTCCTGATCCACCAGCACCTCCTAAGGGACAGCAGATGTTTAACCCATGAGAACAAAGATACTGAGAGGGAGTTGGGGGTAATTTATTACGTTAAAAAAATATGGATCTCATTTGGCTCAATGAAAACATCTGATGAGACCAAGTAAGTGGAATCTGAGAGGAATAAAGCGTGGGGATTGGGCTACAGGATGTGGAACTGAGGTGAGATTCTGATCATACCCAGTTGAGGAAGATGAAGGTTGGTTGGTAGCAGCAGCATCAGAACCACTGATGGCTGGAGCAGCTCTATAGCCTTGTTTTTCCATAACCATTTTAATCAGAAGAGAAGAAAATAGCTATTCTTCCTGGCATTAATTAAAATGAAAGCTCCAGTTTTATTTAACAGTCTTGAAGGTTTCCTTTGTAGTCCTGGCACTTATAGGAAAATAGATTCCATTGTCCCAGTGGCACATCAGATCTTTCCAGATCTGCCAATATTTCGTTTAGTTTATCCCTGCCTCTGCATCATGTTCATTTGTGCATCTCTCAATTTTTAACTTTTTTTTTTTTTTTAATTTGTGGAAAATACCATGGTGCTTCCTCCAGACGACAGGTTTCTCTGTTTCTCCACTGAAATATTTCTCTACATCATTGCCTGCCAACATGCCTGCTCTCAACAGGAGGGGACTGTTCTGAGAGGAAGAAAAGGAGAATTTCATAAGCCAGTAATTGCTGTGAACCCCTGAGTCCTTGACCTCTGTGAGGTGATTGACAGCGAGGAGACCCATGAGCACCACCCTGGGCTGGGGCCAAGGAGGAGAATTCTTTCACGTGACTAAGGAGACCACGTCCCATTTTCAAAAGCACTTAAGTCCTGGGAGAGTTTAAGTTCTGCTGGTCAGGAGTGGGGCTCAGACTCCTAAATCTCGTCAGTCTTTTAACATCTTTCCTCTATACATCAGATACTGTGTTGAGATTGCCAAATTGGTTCAATAAAACTGACCCGATGATAACGACCTGCGCAATTGCTGATCTGAAATGCAATAAAAATTGACCTACAGATGAATTGTCCTCGGATCCTTTGCTCCTTGCCATATCCCTCCCTTTTAGGATGCATTTATTCAATTACAAATTTACCTCTGCTTCTGTGTTCATCCCAACTCCCCCATCTTGGGTCTGCAGGCTGGTGTGCACCAGCTGGCAAGAAAATATGATCAGAATCCAAACAAAACATCTGGCCTGGCTGCCCTCGCTAGATTAGCTGCTCCCTTGTCTTTGCAATGAGCTCCTGGTGCTGTGGGTGTCTCTCAGGTAGACTGGATCAGTTCTTGTTGGCTTGTGGGATTGTGCTTTTCTGCTCCTCTCTTTTACGCACATCATTTTTTAACTAATGGAACCTTCTAGAAGTAATTTATGTCACTTTGCATCTAATTTCTGCGACTGCGTTTCTCAAGTTATTAATGTTTGAAAGGCTGTTCATAGCTGCCACTTCTTGGAGAATAGCTTTTTACCTGCCCAGTGCCATCTGCTTGGACTGTGCAAGCAGGGGGCTACTTCTGTGTGCAATCTCCTCGCAGAACGCACAGGCTGCACACACGATTTGCAGCTCCCTCCAGGGCAAAGAACAACAACCAGTTGGGGTATATATAGAACAAATTGGATGATTCTTCAGAGATCCTCTGTAGCTCAAGCAGAAATAAGAAAGTATCAGTTGGAAGAACTAAGCCTTCCAGGAGCGTTTTGCATTCATTCCTAATGTCCTGATAATGCAACCTTGCGGAACAGCTGCCTGTGGTTTGTTCCTGCCCCTCTTGTGAAAGCTTTTGAGTCCACAGCTGAGTGCTGGGAGGGACTGTAGGAACATTTCTCAGCTGCTTCAGCAAGAAGTTCAGCCAGGTCAGCGTCAGATGCCTCCAGGAGCAACCAGCTGACTGCTCACCGGACAGAACGCGGAGGATGTCCGTGTCCCACTGGCTGTGCCACAGGGATCAGTACCATCTCCTGGAATGGCTGGAACAGATGGCTGGTGGGGCAGAGGGGATGGAGCATCTCAGGCTGCCATGGTTGTTTCTGCAGTGATCTGATCTCACCGCAGCTTTATGTCTGAGCCCTCTGTACACGGACAACAGCTGTGGATGTGATTTATCCCACTTCACTTTCGGCACAGGAAAGGCACATGTCAAACTCTGGAGGAGGTTCCTTCTGCACTAAACAGAGATACACCTCCAAAGAGTTGTTTGTCTGACTTACTGGAGGTGGCTATCTAAGGGTGAGATGAATTGCCCTCTGAACTGTCTGGGGTTTTCATAGACTACAGAAAGAAACAAGAGAATTAGCCTGGCCTTTAGCATTTAGCTTTTTGATCTGTAATTTAGGACAGCTAAACCACCTTATGGGAAAAGTGGAACTAGAGATTGTGGCAGAGAACAAGAGATCTAATTATTTCTGTGAAACAAGAGAGGAATGAATACGTGGAACAGTCTTTTCTTCTCTGTATCCAAGTACATCTGTAAATTCCCAGCTCTGCAGGTGCTGTAAGGCATTGTGGTTGTCAACTCACGTGGTGCAAAACAACCAGTACCTGTCAGGTGAAGTTCATGACACAGCTGTGTGCTGTAGCCTGCACAACCCTCATCTCTCTGTGACAGTGGAGAGGGACTGAAAACTCTATTCCCTCTTGACTTCTGCGTGTGAACTCAAAGAGCAGATCTGTACCTCGAGTTGAGCTGCAGAACAGCCACAAAGTGAAAGAGGCCACTGTCATTTACGCTGGCTGGGAGGTGGTTGTGGTCTAGATCTAAGTGCTATCCCTCTGAATTGGAGGAAATCAACCTCTGCATCTTCTGAAATATATTCAAATCTTGAAAAGAGGCCATGATTTCCCCTAAATGTCAGAGGACTGGAATCAGTGTGGATTCCAAGTCCTGCACTGGCAGATTTGAAAGTGCAGACTTGGAACTTGGGCTGTAGATCGTTGTGGTATTTTCCATTCTGCTAAATCATACTTGTGAGGTGTCACTTGAAGCCACCAGCCACTTCCCTCCTCACATGCACATCCCATATACACAAACCTGGGCTCAAATGCACAAATGCCCAGCCAGGCATAGCCAGCTTCAGGAGGGATTGTGTGGCTGAAAAACTGGAAGCGATAATTAAGAAAACAAACATCGAAGGGTAAGGATGGGACAAGTTTTGTGTTGGGCGGTTTTGTATTGTTAGACAGCACTTGCTGTGAGATTTGGGACCAATAACTGGACTTGCAGGTGCCACCAAAGCTCAGATTATTATCTAAATCAGTCTAATAAAGAAGAAAATCAAGCTGCACACCTGGGTTTGAACTGGAGGCCATGCTTGGATAGCAGAGCTCAGGCCCAGCTCTGACAGACCCGTGTCAGGATCCCAGGGGTATATCCCTACCCAAGGTAAGCAACATTTACAGCACAACCCATTTCAAAATTACTCCTGGTTCTTAATTAAAGTCTGGGAACATTTCTCAGTAGTTTGAATTTTAAGTTAGAAAGGAGGTAACAGAAAGTCCGGAAATTGCCCTGTGCTTGGTCTGCTGCTTTTGCTGTAAAAGGCGTAAAATGTAGAATAATAACTGCCTTTCAAAATGGATTATTTGAAAACTACTTCTTCTTGCCTTTAAGAGCTCACAAGAGCTTGTTGGAAAATTTTTCAGATGTAGATTGCTCTTTTGAAAATGTCATTGAAAAATTGCCCACTAGAAAATGCAATTGGAAATTTTTTCAGTGGAATATTGTTCTGTTAGAAAACATGTTTTCATCTAAATCAATTGTCTATGGAAATGTCCCCATTCTAACATTTCATTTTCTAAAAATCTAAAGGATTTCAATAATACTGAGCCAGTCCTTTTCAATATTTCACATACTTGCAATCTTTTACCTGAAAGCGTTTTTTTTTTAAAATTTTTAATTTTTGTAGTTGAAATATTTTTAAAAGGACTGCATTTAAACGCTTGATTGGAACACTTGTTGTATTTGATGTTTACATACTACAAAATGATGGAGGTAATGGCTTATAGCTCTCAGATGTGGTATAATGTCTGTGATCACGAGAGGAAAATCCAACTGAGTTTGGCTTTGCGTTTTGTTTAACTCTGCTGCAAAAATGATGTATTATATAAGTCGGTATCACGCAGTTCAGCACATTGGGGAATTGTTGCAGGTAAAAATTTCATGCAAACTTTATTACACAGAATTGGATATTCCTTTGAATCAGAAATCTGGCTGGAGGCAAAGCTGTCAATCGGTCCTGCTGCAGCTCAGACAGCTCTGGCAGCACAATTTGCAAGGGGGTAGGAACACACACAAAGCAGACTTGAGCCTACAAACTTTAAGTGGAGATAGATGCCAGAGCTGGAAAAATGCCTATAAACCTGTTAGAGGTTTCTGTTTTCTTTCATGCCAAGCTATTTTCTTGGCCTAGGGTTGGAAAACTCAGCAGCAAGGATGGAGTCAGAGGCACTGCTTGGGCTGAGCCCCGGAGCTGCCATGAGGGTCTCAGCACTGCATGGGCACACAGGCTGAGCTGTCTAAACAGCATTTATTATTATGCTGTTCCCTGGAGACTGGAAAAGCAAGACATAGAAGTCTGGGGCTTCTGGAAGAGCAACATCCTAGGATTTCGCAATTATTTGTATTGTGTACTCCAAGTAATTCTGCCTTAATCAGCTTATACCGTGAAAATGTCTTCCCCTTTGGTGCACTTTCCATCTCCCTTGCTCTCATTCAGTTCTGAGAATTGAATAGCACCTCACAAAGAGGTGCGTGATTTCAACCAGGATTGTGCTTCAGTTCTTATAAGTTACTTTGTTTTCTTCATTTCTCCTCCTTGCTCAGTTCCCAGAGTTGTTTGCCCTCCAAAAAGGGTAAAACAAGGGCTGATTCAGGCTGTGCAGCTGCAAGATGCTTCATCAGAGCACTGCCCTATGCAGTGGTCTAGTGCATCAAAAGATTCAGGAAAGGCTGTAAATTGAAATTGCAGAAAAACCTTTTGCTTTTCCAGACTCACTTATAGAAGGAAAGGAGGCTCTCCCAAGGATCGAGGCAATGGGCCTTTTGGCTTTGGAGACCAAATCCAGTGTGCTTTTTGTTTCAAGCACAGTGACTAGGGCTCTTTAGCACTGGCAGCTTGGATGGCTGTACAGTCATTGGCATAGCAGGAGTTACACTGTCAGTGCTGTGCTGGACTCCT